GTCAGTACACAAATATTGTTTCCCCATCTTCCTCACCCTCGAGGAAACCTTCCCCCCGTCTGTGTTCCCCAGCTTGGAGGTAGTTGGGTAGGGCTGTGTGTAGCAGGACCGCGTAGTGTTGTTGGCTCCTGGTGGCGGGCACGAGGGAGGGAGGGGGGAGGGAGGGCGGGCAGGTATGGGCAGGCTGGAGTGTATGTGTGGTGTAGAGACACAGGCGGCCGTCAGGTCCAGCTGCTAGAGTGAAAACAAGAGTTGCAGGAGAGCCAAGGTCACATTACTTATGGGTAGGATTTTGACCTTTAGTATCGCATGTTGGCGAGAGTTAAGACCCACTTGTGCATCACTTACCATCCTGCTGTTGCCAGTCTCGGCCTGCTCATCTCGGGGTTATTTTCAATTAACGTAGGATCACGATGTTCATCAAGCGCCCTCCTTCTGTCGTGCCCGCTACCACGACTATGTTCAACCCCGAAGTTCACTTGAAATCTGTTCATCGATGTTCAAATGTCAATAGTCAGCAACAATGCTCATAGGTTTATACAGCCAATGTGTTCACCGATGTTCATGTTGTGCAGTCTACTCGTAAATGTTCTATGATGATCAAGTACAGTACAGTCAGTCCTCAATTGTTCACAAACGTTTAAGTTGTACAGTCAGTCATTATTGTTCGCTGATGTTCAAGATGCACAGTCAGCTCACGAGTGTTCACATCAGTCTTGTTCTTATCTGGATGTTGCACTTTGTACAGAACAATGCTACAACGTCCCAGTGTTGCCAATTACATGAACAACTTACTTATATCGTCACTCGTGTTGCTCTTCTCATAAGTGATGAGTGTTATCTAAGTAGTGAATGTCTTTAAGTATTGTGTTTCCTTGTAAGTATCTTGTCTTTAAGTAGCGCATTATGTAGTGATTTTTTTAAGTAACGAGTATTTCTAAGTAGCGTGTTTGTCTAAGTAATTTCTTTGTTCAGTGTTATTTTTTCTAAGTAGAGTGTTCCTCTAAGAATAATGTATTTTCTAAGTACCGTGTTTGTTCAAGTACCGTGTTTGTTCCAGTACCGTGTATGTTCCAGTACCGTGTTTGTTCCAGTACCGTGTTTATCCCAGTACCGTGTTTGTTCCAGTACCGTGTTTATCCCAGTACCGTGTTTATCCCAGTACCGTGTTTGTCCCAGTACCGTGTTTGTCCCAGTACCGTGTTTTCCTCAAGTTCTAGATGCTGTTCTTAAAATGTTCATCAATGTTCACTTTACACTCGGGTTCACGCTTCTGTTGTTTACTGTTCTTACATTCCTTTAACTATCCACATTAAGAACTACAATATATACAAAAATACATACATATATACACACACATACAGTACATATTGTTATTTAATACATATTGTTATTTTGGCCACTGTGTCATTTATATTATACAGCTTAACTATTGCAATATGTTTGAGTTGTGTTGTGTTGTGTTAAGTTCAGTTTATATATAAAGGTCAGGTGTGATTAGATCATTAGTAACGACAGGTAAAAGGTTTGAACTAAATTAAACTTAATCCAATTGACCGAACTTGATCATGATTCATTTTGAGAGTTTATAGGTTAGGTTAAGTTAGGTAAAGTTGAGTGAAAGAAAGGCCCAACCAGACTTAACTGACTTAATCCACCTAACCTAACCTAACCTAACCAAACTATCTTACCATATCTAACTTAATTGCAGCTAGATATTGCAAGATCATTTAGTTAAGTTACGCTAGGTTAGTACGTTCTCTTAGCCGTCAACTTTGGCTAGGTTTGGTTAGGTTAAGTTAGATTTGAATGTTAATGTTAGTTAATTAACAAACTCAACCAGAAAGTGTTTAATATGTTTAACTAATGCGACCTCTTTTATTTAGCGTACAACCCCGTTGATTATACCTCCCTCACATTCTGTAGTCAAGGGATACCATTAAATCCTTCATCATGGCACAGTCTTGGAATCTGCGCCATCATTGGAACGTATTCTCAAATCATCATCACAAACTATACACGAATTGAACCTGACCTAATCTAAGTTATTGTTAGGTTAGATTAGGTTAGGTTAGGTTGGTTCTCGTCACATATAAGGTTAAATAATTCAAGTATAGGTATTCCAAGATCGCGCAAAAGACGTACAGTAAACACAAAGTCATTCCAAGATCGCGCCTACGAATTCCAAGTGACAACTGTGTATTCTCAAAGTGTATGGAGAGAGAGAGAGAGAGAGAGAGAGAGAGGTCATGGTGGCTGAATAAATATGTATGTATGATTGTGTATGTACGTATTGTGTGTGTATTGTGTATTGTCATGCGGCCAGGGTCGGGTGAGGGTATACGTAGGGAGGGGGTTTGTATACCTATTGTATGTATGTATGTATTTTTATGTGTGTGTATTCCATTTTGTATGTGTGTATATGTATGTATATCGGTCTTGTGTATGTATTTCCCATTTTTCCTATACCCTTCTTTAAACTATCACTGTGTCTCCTCTTCTTTATCTCTCTCTCTCTCTCTCTCTCTTATTCTCTTCCCTTTTGTGTTTTATTGGCCTTTTCCTCCTATATTTTCCTCTTTTATTTTTTTCCGTTCTTTCCTCTCTTATTTTATTGCCATTTTTTCCTCACATCTCCTTTTTCTCTCTTTCTCTCTTATATTAATTCCTATCGTCCTCATCTAATAATTATTCTCACTCTTATTCCATTCCTCCGTAGTTTCCCCTTTTCCTCTCTCTCTCTCTCTCCCCCTCCCCCTCTCCCTCCCCTCCCCTCATCTCTTCCTCCCCTCATCTCTGCCTCCCCCTCACTCGGCAATGAAAGCCAGACAAAGCCGCACTTAAGAATGTAATTGCTCAACAATCGTTCCATTACGAATAATAATCTACGATCTCGCCAAAGTGCCGACGATCCCGCCAACTTCCCCACCTATACGCCAAAGCTGTAAGTCGGGATCATACGCACGCCAGAGTCCTTCGGGTTTTTTTTTTTACGCCCAAAGTTCCGACGAGATTCCGCCTAGGTCACCGATTTTATTACCGAAAGATCGACAGGTTTCCCGAAGTGCCGATAAAGTTCGTTCGGTCCCCGATTTTAGACGCTAGAGTACCGACGAATCCGCTAAGTCCCCGAATTAAATACCCAAAAACACCGATAATATATCAGAAGTGCCGATGAACCCCGCTAAATCCTCCCGACTTCAACACCGAAACACCAACAATATACCCCGAAATCCCGACTAAAACTCGCTAGATCCCCGACTTGAACGCATGCAAAGTGCCGACGAACACCCCCCCCCCTACTCCCCGATTTACATTCCAGAACTGTAGACAATATCGCTAAACCTTCGACAAATTTCCATACGGCTCCCATGCCTATACTGATATACAAACACGCGCTCTAAACCCTTCAGGAAATATTACCAGACACTCAGACGACCTGTGTTATAGTTACGGTAATCTATACAGGTCCTGATCTATACTCCTTATCTTTCTATAATCTTCCTCATTTCTTCCTCCCTCACACCGGGAAAAGTTCACACGGTAGCGGAACAAAATGCCAATAGAGACAACCGGGAGAAGATCACTTTATATTACCGGTGGTTCTGTCTTGGTATTCACACACTATGGAGATAAAGAACCGGGACTACTCGTCGATCGCCAGCTCATCAACTCACCGACGAGTAGTTTATACCGGGATGTTGGCGGTTTCGTGGTTAAAGAGTCGGGCGAGTTTGCGTTATACCGGGAGTTCACCGCTGGCGTTAAACCCTGGCGGCGGACACACACACACACACACACATTTACATATTTCCTAATTATAATAATTTAAATATTTCTCAATTAAACAACATTGAATACAACATTATACAAGTACATACAACAATCACAATACATTATTTTTACCATCAAATATATTATTACTAATCTTACGAATACCTCTCTAAAAAAAACACAAAGACAACTACGCCTCAATATATCTATCCTTCGTTATATTTCACTATCGGGTAAAAAAAAAAAATGATGGTTAAAAGACACATAAGTATGCGGAAGTCGATCGTGGAAGACATCAGCCACGGTTCTCTCAGTGTCTTACAATTACTCCACGATGTGATAATTATGACACTTACTCGACCTGAGGATGGGACTAGTCTTGTTTTTCCCGCAGGTGTAATGGGGCGTGAGAGAATGTGTGTGTGTGTGTGTGTGTGTCTGGCAGGTCAGTGTCTACAGTCTTGAAGGGCAACGAGGGATTCACTACCATTCTGAACCACATATTGATAATATTGTGCATTTATAGAGGCTACGATCGTTTATATATATTCAGTATAAGGGATTCAATACTATATACGTCTTATGGTGTGTGTTTATAGAGGTTTCGATCCTTTATATAAGCTCAGTGGAAGGGATTCAACACCACATATGACTTATGATGTGTTTATGGAAGCTCCGATCATTTATCAGTACAAATACTCAATATTATGACATACAGAAGCCATTTAATCCTCAATGCCATAGTCACGTTACTTATATCTATAATATCACCTAAAACATCAAGTCATTCTTACGGTATAAATGTTCGAGTCATCTATGAAATACAGGTGTTCTGGTCAGTCACAAACTACTCAGTGATATGAGACGGTGTAAGAATTCTATAGTTTTTTCCTTCCGACAAAAACCTGAGCGTTTATATAACTCAGATGATAAAGACGCTGCGATGCTCACTTGTTCCACAATAGAGATTTTAATCCCCTTAAAGAATTTATAGATTTCCGCCATTTTGATCCTTTGTATAAGAGACCCCTGCGATGTGCACTTGTTTCACAACTTAAGAGATTTCCGCCATTTATAGATATTATAGAGATTTCGATCCCTTGCATGACACACACACGCACCCACACACACACAATTGAAAGATATTGCTTATAAATAGTACAAGTTTCAAGCCTTTGACAGTGACATAAGATAGAAGGTATTCGATTGCCTTAAGTACAGAAGTT